TATTGCTTGACGTACTTTTAAATATCTAGGAAAATGGCTTTAAAATTAAATGAAAGAGCTTCCACAACACTTCATTAAACTTGCGGCGCCGACTTGCGGCACCGCTTGCGGGGCCGATTTGCGGGGCCGATTTGCGGCGCCGCTTGCGGGGCCGATTTGCGGCGCCGCTTGCGGGGCCGATTTGCGGCGCCGCTTGCGGGGCCGATTTGCGGGGCCGATTTGCGGCGCCGATTTGCGGCGCCGCTTGCGGGGCCGACTTGCGGTGCCGATATTTCTGTTTATTCTTGTAAAATAGAAATTTTTAAATAATACCAATTATTGCTTGACGTACTTTTAAATCTAGAAAAATAGCTTTAAAATTAAATGAAAGAGCTTCCATAACAATTCATTAAACTTGCGGCGCCGCTTGCGGGGCCGACTTGCGGTGCCGATTTGCGGCGCCGATTTGCGGTGCCGATATTTCCGTTGATTCTTGTAAAATAGAAATTTTAAAATTATACCAATTATTGCTTGACGTACTTTTAAATATCTAGGAAAATAACTTTAAAATTATATGAAAGAGCTTCCACAACACTTCATTATACTTGCGACGCCGATTTGCGGCGCCGCTTGCGGGGCCGACTTGCGGCGCCGATTTGCGGCGCCAATTTGCGGTGCCGATTTTTCCGTTGATTCTTGTAAAATAGAAAATTTTAAAATCATACCAATTATTGCTTGACGTACTTTTAAATATCTAGGAAAATGGCTTTAAAATTAAATGAAAGAGCTTCCACAACACTTCATTAAACTTGCGGCGCCGACTTGCGGCACCGCTTGCGGGGCCGATTTGCGGGGCCGATTTGCGGGGCCGATTTGCGGGGCCGCTTGCGGGGCCGACTTGCGGTGCCGATATTTCTGTTTATTCTTGTAAAATAGAAATTTTTAAATAATACCAATTATTGCTTGACGTACTTTTAAATCTAGAAAAATAGCTTTAAAATTAAATGAAAAAGCTTCCACAACAATTCATTAAACTTGCGGTGCCGATTTGCGGCGCCGCTTGCGGGGCCGATTTGCGGCGCCGCTTGCGGGGCCGACTTGCGGTGCCGATTTGCGGCGCCGATTTGCGGTGCCGATATTTCCGTTGATTCTTGTAAAATAGAAATTTTAAAATTATACCAATTATTGCTTGACGTACTTTTAAATATCTAGGAAAATAACTTTAAAATTATATGAAAGAGCTTCCACAACACTTCATTATACTTGCGACGCCGATTTGCGGCGCCGATTTGCGGTGCCGATTTTTCAGTTGATTCTTGTAAAATAGAAAATTTTAAAATCATACCAATTATTGCTTGACGTACTTTTAAATATCTAGGAAAATAACTTTAAAATTATATGAAAGAGCTTCCACAACACTTCATTATACTTGCGGCGCCGACTTGCGGCGCCGCTTGCGGGGCCGACCTGCGGGGCCGATTTGCGGCGCCGCTTGCGGGGCCGACTTGCGGTGCCGATATTTCTGTTTATTCTTGTAAAATAGAAATTTTTAAATAATACCAATTATTGCTTGACGTACTTTTAAATCTAGAAAAATAGCTTTAAAATTAAATGAAAGAGCTTCCACAACAATTCATTAAACTTGCGGTGCCGATTTGCGGCGCCGCTTGCGGGGCCGACTTGCGGGGCCGATTTGCGGCGCCGCTTGCGGGGCCGATTTGCGGCGCCGCTTGCGGGGCCGATTTGCGGCGCCGATTTGCGGCGCCGATTTGCGGTGCCGATATTTCCGTTGATTCTTGTAAAATAGAAATTTTAAAATTATACCAATTATTGCTTGACGTACTTTTAAATATCTAGGAAAATAACTTTAAAATTAAATGAAAGAGCTTCCACAACACTTCATTAAACTTGCGGGGCCGATTTGCGGCGCCGATTTGCGGTGCCGATATTTCCGTTGATTCTTGTAAAATAGAAATTTTAAAATCATACCAATTATTGCTTGACGTACTTTTAAATATCTAGGAAAATAACTTTAAAATTATATGAAAGAGCTTCCACAACACTTCATTATACTTGCGACGCCGATTTGCGGCGCCGCTTGCGGGGCCGACTTGCGGCGCCGACTTGCGGCGCCGATTTGCGGCGCCGATTTGCGGTGCCGATTTTTCCGTTGATTCTTGTAAATTTTAAAATCATACCAATTATTGCTTGACGTACTTTTAAATATCTAGAAAAATAGCTTTAAAATTAAATGAAAGAGCTTCCACAACACTTCATTAAACTTGCGGCGCCGCTTGCGGGGCCGACCTGCGGGGCCGACTTGCGGGGCCGACTTGCGGGGCCGACTTGCGGGGCCGATTTGCGGTGCCGATTTTTCCGTCGATTCTTGAAAATTCGAAAATTTTAAAATCATACCAATTATTGCTTGACGTACTTTTAAATATCTAGAAAAATAGCTTTAAAATTAAATGAAAGAGCTTCTTCAACACTTCATTATACTTGCGGCGTCGCTTGCGGGGCTGATTTGCGGCGCCGATTTTTCCGTTGATTCTTGTAAGATAGAAAAATTTAAAATTATACCAATTATTTCTTGACGTACTTTTAATTATCTAGAAAAATAGCTTTAAAATTAAATGAGCTTCCACAACACTTTTACTTGCGGCGCCGACTAGCGGTGCTGATTTGCGGGGCCGATTTAGGGGGCCGATTTGCGGGGCCAACTGAGCTGAGATTTTTTGTTTCGCTCTTATTTTATGTCGATTCTTTTAAAATTGAAATTAAGAAATTATTCAAATTATTGCTTGAAGCGTTTCTAGAAAAATAGCTATTTGCTATAGTAGATTTTAAATCTTTAAAAATATTTTCTTTTGCTTCTTTTTTCTTTTTTTAGGGTCAGGCCAAGACAAAGTCTTGTCGGCCTGTGCCCCAGTTAATTTTTTATTTTATTTTTTTTCGGGTTGAACTTTATTTAAAAAATCACCATTTTTTGCTTTGTGATTTGTTGAAATTTAGAATTCATTTACCTGGATCATTTATAAATTTTAAAATGAAAAATACCAAACATGCAAAATAAAAGGCAAATTCTCGTAATTAGTCAGCTGATGGTATTCCAACAAATCACGCCAAATGCAAAATATAATAATTCAAATTTTGTCGCCGCCAGCGATTGAGCGACAGACAGATCGAGTTATCAATGCGGCGAAATCAATTTTGTTTTGTTGTCGCTCATTATGCCGGCCGTGCATCCAAACAGCCGCGCCGACGAACGCCTGCGAGATGTCAATTTAGCATGAGCGATCGCCCCGACGCCGCGCCAAAAGGGGTAAATTTATCTCATAATTCGCCGGTCGTGGCGTTTATTGTTGGCGGCCGTGCGATAATCTCAGGAGAAAGATGCGCTCGCTTGCGTCACACGCCGAGCGCAACCAACGGGGCCTTTGTGATGCCAAATTTGACTTGTAAACTACGACAGGCCCTTTATTTGTGTTTCACTGAGAGCGTGATGGATTGCCTCTTCCGTTTAAGCAGCCCTTTAGCTTAATTTAAAAATAAAATCGAGCACAAAATGTCCTGAAAATGATTTTAAAAATTGCGAAAGTTCGCTGGTTAAAGTTATTCTCAAAATGATATTTTATAATCTAATTTGCTATAAATTTCTTATTTTTCATATTTAAAATAATCACATACTCTTAGTTTCAATTTTCAAAATAATTTATCACTGGGAATAATTTCACCAAATGTCTCATTGAAAAACATAAAAAATTTGATGAATCACAAGAAATATAGAATATCAGAAAGTGAACTAAACATAATACAACAGAAAAAAATCCTGAAATTTTCATACATTGAAAAAAAAAAATAATTTTTTTAAATTATATTTTTCTCAAATCAAAGATGTTGTCAAAAAAAAATTATTTTTTATTATATAACTATATCAATCTTTCCGTGGGACAATTTCAGATGACCCGCTCTTGAGATGAGCAAAAATGAAAAGACATCTCGTGTGATAATCTTGCAGTTTGTGTGAAAATTCATGCGTCGGTTCAACCAGCTTTTTAATTGATTGTGTGTTTACTGTTACAAAGCTGCTCTCGGCCCTGCGTCATTATCATTTTTATGATTTCTCGCGACAATCTGATGAGATGTTCCTGACAGATTAAGAATAAAGTTTTGTCTGTTCTGGTGAACAATAAAAATTATACAAGATACATGGACGCCTGCGTGTGAGCTTAAAAAAACAAAAGCATTCAAAAATAATTAATAAATTGAATCGTAAATTACAGCACAGCTCGGAAGATTTCGTCTCACAATCAGCGCTGATTAAATTGTAGAATGGGCACTTTTGACACCCAATTAAATGTTATCTCTCAATCGACAAATTGCAAAAGATGAAAAATGCATTTTATTTTATATAATTCCTGTATAAATAATTTTGTTTGTTTTAGTGTGAGGATGGTGCGTGCATTAAATGCGGACGTTAAATCGTGCACGCGGCCGAGTGAGCTCATAATCCGTCTATAAATTCACAGCTCGCATTCTCACATAAATAAATGACTTGCGATTGTTAGCTCTGAATCTGGACGCGCGCCACGCTATGCCAAAGTATAGCAGATTAGTGGTCCGTAATGTGAAAAACACCCCGACACGTGCGCGGCAACGACTGTGAATGAGAATTGCAAAAGGAAAATCCTTGCATGGAATATTCCGAGATATTTTTGTATCGATTTTACAGTATTTTATTTATATTTATAGTTTTTGGTTTATTGCACTCCCTGCAATTAAAGTGCGTGTTGCAAAACCACGACATGATCTTCGCACGTTTTCTAATTTGCGCGCGCGTTTTGTAATGATATATCTATTATGTCTACTTACATACGTCCTTGTCTTACATTTAAATAAGCATAACTACAACACTGGAATTTTCTCCTGAAAATAATTGCTTCATGGGAATTATGTACTTTCAAGTAAAAGGTATTTAAACGCTTCTGAATGATAGCTCATGTCATTGAGCAAAATGTTTATAAAGCTGCAGAGTGCCAAAAAAAGAAGCAGTTTCATTCAGGTTTTGCAGAAATGAAGAGCTCTTGTGTCCTATTCCTCGCTCTGAACTTCATTACATACGTGCATGGTAATTTCAGTATCTTAATTTTTCCTTTTAGTCCTTTTCATTTTATATAAGCTGCAATAACAATGGGTGATCAACTATAATAACGCTCAATTTCTGCTCAAATTAATACTGAAAAAAATGATTGTGACGATCCTTTTCTTGGATAATTTAAAAAAAAAATAAAGTCAATATATTAAATTTTTTGATAGCCCCCTTAGTGTTCAATGTTGCTCATACTAATTTTAATCGTGTTTCATTTAAGGGAAAATTCAAACTTGCCAACAATATTGCTACTGCTATTCAGCTAATGGCGACTACACGATGACGCCGTTTGGAAATAAATATTTGAAGCAATCATCGGAGCCAAACGTTGTTACCGGAGCACCTACTTCAGCTGCAATTGGGATTTTTCCAGATCGCGACCTATGTGGAGAAAATCAGGTTCTCTTCAATGGACGGTGCCGTGGTGTAACACAAACTGGAAGTAATAAACTGTTATTTCATACTTTTAATATCAACTGAAGAAAATTGAAAGTTTTTTTGTGTACAATTTAATAACACTGTTTTTCTAATATGATTTAAGGAATGTCTGAATCTGGAACACTTGTCGCTCCAAATAGAATGCGTTGCGGGGCTGGTCAATTCAACTTCAATGGCAGATGCAGAAACACCATTCCATAAATTATCCTAAGGTTTTTTTCTTTAAAAAGCTTTGAAATTACCATGTATAGTCTTAATATTAAATCTCAGCACTTGGTTTAGTTTTAAGATTGTTTTAATTGATATGCATCACTGGACCAATACTGTATCCCATGATTCATCGTTTCGTTTTTATACATTAAAAAATATTAAATTGAATTAACAATTGAAAATAAAAGTACCTAAAATAAAGTTTTTAATTTTAAATGTATTTAAGAGGGGAGAAATGCTAGATTTTGACGATGTATTCTCAAAACCCAAATTATATTTCGATTTTATTAATTAAATTATCCAAAGATTTTGAGTAAAATTTTCACGGCTCTTTATACATCCAGAATTACGTCATCGAAGGGTTCATTGTTCATAGCAAGCTTGAAATAACATACACATCTTTATGCATGACTCTGGAGAAACACAATGGGCGCGTGTCGAGCGAGAGTTGCACATTGACTGTGCATGTGCCGCGTTTATTCAAAGTCATAGCCAAGCAAGCAGAACCCACCGTTTTCACACCCCAAACCAGTGCGTGATCATTCTCACATTACACTGCTCTACCATCCTCCCCCAAAAATATAAATTAAATATATAAGTATGAATTGTACAATCAATAAATTTTACAAATTTGATTTCTTATTTTTGAATGTTTATTTAAATTTTAATCTACCCTTTTCCTTCAAACTATTTATAAAATTTAAAAAGATCCATCACTGAACAAATATAAATCATTATTTTATACATCAACTGAAAGTTTCTTTCTCTTTACAATGAAAGTGCCTAGTGCCAAACGCATTTTAAAAATCACTTTCAATTTCACTGCTCATTGCAAAATCTGCTGCACGTCCGATAAGAAGGAACCGCTTTAATGCACAAACACACTTGGTCCCTCTCTTTCTCTCTCTGTGCACACGGAGAGGGTGACAAAAATAATAAATTAGTCTTCGCCTCCCCTTTGATACTTTTTGGTCGGCGGCGAGCGAAGTAGATCAAAAGTAAATGAAGCGAGGGTTAATTCTCACACTTGCCTGGTCAGATTGAAAGCGGAGACCGGGCGGGCGGGCGCGCGGCTGCACTAAATAGACGTGCATTGCATTTCACTTAGTTAGCGTGTTTTATTAGCACGGCCCGTCGACTTGCTTGAATTCATTTTAAAATTCAATGTGAAACACGCGTTTCATTATTTTAATAGCACTAGAGGGAGATTTATATAAGGGTGGGTGTGGATTTAAACTTGCCTCGCACCATTCATCTTTGAAAAGTACTCATTTTAATGGAAACTTCAAAATATCCAAATTTGTTTGTATTACAAATAAGAGGAAATTTTAATTATATGAGTTGAGAGATGACATTCTTCTCCTTGCACAACCAATTGCATGTAGATTACATTTGGAAACAAAAATTTATTATTATTTTTTTTTAATTCTTAGTTTATATTTTAAAATGACAAATTCTTCAACACATGAAAAGAAATTCTCTAATAAATAATAAAGAAAACTGGTTATAATAAATATATTTAAATTTAAAAAAAAACTTAAAATCTAATATTAAATAAAGAAATAAATAGCCCTAATTGTACATAATTTTAATAATAAAATTTTATTTTTAAAATCTATGTTATAAATAAAATTCTTTTAAGCACATAAAACACTTAGCTTGATATTTTAAATTAGTCATAATAAATTATGTACACAGAATAAAAATAAAAATTCAAATAATTTAATTATTAGCCACAAATGATGTATGTATCTTTTGTGTGGTTCTTTAAAGAAATTTCAACAATATTAAGTTTTTGATTGTGAGCAATTGAAAAAGCCAGAAGTGAAGTAAAATAAAGCAACCCTTTTTTGCCTCTAAAAACTCATCAAACTACGCTCCCCTGTAGATAACAGTAGGTGGATGCAAATCACCGCGCGATTTTTTTTTTCACTCGTGTCCGAAGCGTTTTGATTTACTCAGCGGCGCGATAGAGGAAAAAAATGGCAATTCTTCCGTAATTACCGCAAGCCAAACGAACGGCCAAACAAACCAGGGGTATGAAAAGAATGAACGTTTGTGCAGTGCGTCCCCTATTATTCATATCTCTTTCCTCTGTTGGCGTGCGCTATCGAAATGTTACATTCCTCTCCCTTGTAAAAAATTCGAGGCAGGGAATAATAAAAAGCCTCTCGCCGAATTCAATGTCCAGCGCGAATGGCAATTTTTTTGCGCAAAATAAAGGCAGAGAGCAGAGTTTTGGCCGGGTGTGTGTTTCACATTCAGCACGGCCAACGCGATTTTTGCGCGTTATCTCTCACTCTCTTCTGCCGTCCTGACGGTGCTGCTGGCTTTTATACATTATGATGATACATTTTAAAAAGGCTGTTTTTTTTTATTTTTAACTGATGATGTTTACTGCGTGTTTCCATATTTCATTGTGTGCGCGAGAGAGAGAACAAACAACCAACTATAAAAAAGAGGAAGGGTGCGGGATTTTTATTATTGCAGGCAAAGAGTGTGATTCCGTTTTCATACATTTTTTTTTCTCATTTTTATACGAGCGAGATGAGCTGTTGGTGGTTGGTGTGGTCACCACTGAATGAGACTGGCTCTTTCTCTTTTTGCAGTTTAAAAGTGCTGTCATTTATTTTACTCTCGCGCGGTTATTCTTTTTCTGCGGTGCCGCCGCCGGGATTTATATTTTTCGCCGCGCCAACCGACTGCCGCTGTCAGATGATTTGTGAGCGAGTTTTGCAAAAATTGCCTCTGCGGTCGCTACACGACGACACACACCGCGGCTAATCTGGCCCTGATGGAGTGAAAAATGGAAATGACGGGAAAGAAGAAAAAATTTCGCTGCCGGTTGTGGCTTTTTGAAGAGTGGAACGGAAATTGGAAAAAAATCAACTTGTAGCTTTAGTGATCAATGTTTTTTGTTTATGGAATTTCACAATTAAATGTTGTAAAAAATTGAATATATACAATTTAAAAACCTAAATGAAAATTGAAACCAATCGATTCCGAGTACAAATTATCAAATAAATTTTTTTTTCTGCGCTATAATTTTTTGTGTTATTTGATTCCACGTATACATGTTTCTTGTGGGTGCAGTTATTATGGTCAGTGCTGTTGGAACGTCATCCTCAAAGTATTCACGAAAGTTCCAAGGGTTCCAAGTATAATACAATTCCTGGGCGTTACGACGGGAGATCTGCCTGGCGGGATGTGTCACAAGCTCAAGGTCCTCCAAATCATGTTCAAGCTTTGCCGTTTTATCTATTTAAATATTTTTCAACCATTAATTTAACTCCGTGAAAACTAATACATTGCGAAACGCTTAGTTGTAAAAAAATTTAAAATTATGTAAATTACCTTCAGCAAATCCAAAACTCATCAAAGTAATGAAGCAAAAAACTGCTGCTGATCTGCAGGTCTGCATTCTACCTCAGCTTCAAACAAAGTGAGCCAAATTCTCAGCACAAAGGACAGTTTTTCGCTCTCAAGGTTGTCGGTGAGAGAAATCCTGAGTATAATGAAAAAAGGATGGAAGTAATTATCAAAAGCGCGCTAATTGCTGTGATGAAAAAAAAAATACAAATTTTAAGGCATATTTTGGTATTTTCAAGGAAAATAAAAGGAGAATCTCTTTCTAGTGCAATAATAAAAATATTTGATTAGATTATTTTGATGCCTTAATGAGATAATAGATAACATACTTATATATGATGTTTTCATACTCTATAAAACAAGATAGTGTACGTAGTGAACGATGCTTTATAATAAAAATATAACATTCAAATCGGTTTTTTGGGTTGGGTAACACGCTTTCAATTGTTGATCTAGATACTTGATTGCTTTTAGAAGGAGATGAAATAATTAATGAAAGAAAAGATTAACCATGTGGTTTTCCAAAGCACCACAGCTCGTATTGTTACTAACAATAAGGGCACTTAAAAAAATATTTGTGAATTAAAATTTAAAGCCAGCCCCGCCGACGGGCCGCCCAGCACCCTGGTATATGAGCTATGATATAATCAAATTTATTAAAATATTTTGAGAGAGCAATCCTCAATTTAAATTCCTCTTGCATTTTGGTTTTTTAGTATCTAAAAAAGATTTTTTTTTTAATATTACAAAGTTTTTATTTGAAAGAAATAAAAAGTACGGCCAAATCCAAATGGAGTTATAGGCCGATGTAATAAAATTTATTACCTCCGAACAAATTTTTCACAATTGATTCCTCTGATCTGTTTCGAGAAAAATTAATGAATTTGTACAAATAATAATTATATTTCATGAGAGTGGTTAAGAAAGTGGCAAAATATACTACTTATTAAGGATGATGCATTTTTTCACTAAATTTATGCAACATCATTGCACTGATGCTTTGCGTGCTGCATAACTTCAAGCGAAACTTTTGACTTTTCGCAACTTTTAATAAAAACGAAGAAGCTGGCATCATGAATTTACGTTTTTTATAAAACTAATTGTAAGAATTAGAATGAAACCATTTTTTTAAACCAAAATGAACTTATCAGATGAGATAAAATCGTCACGATAAAAAAATATATTATAATTTGCTATTTAAATAATGACGAATTGATGCAGAGCTAGGGCGCGTGCTGATGCTCTCAAAAGGTGGCCCCGCGTAAATCTCGTTCTTGCACGGTGGCGAACGGAACTTGTTGACCGCGGAAGCAATTAACCCTGCGCTAATCTGGAGGGCAAACATCTTGGCGCAGCACCTTGAGAGAATTTATCGCGCCTCCCTCTCTACATAATGTGCGCGAATCGCAAGCAAACATTCAAACTCGGCCCGCAGGCGTGTATCGCGAATTATGGCGGGCGATGTTATCACATCGGAGACGGCGGCGGGCGACAAAAATGCGGCCGCTAAACAGACAAAGGGGGTGCAATTGAGCAAATCCCTGCAGAGCGATGCAGCTTGCTGCACTGCATTTCCATTGTGCCGCCCGCCCGCCCGCCCGCCCGCCGGCTTATCAGCTCTTCAAGGGTCATTTTGGCTCTCTATAATTTATGGCCAAATATACGCATAACTGCTGATTGTATCTCGCTAAGGCCCGTCTCTAGCTCTATTGCGCGTATATTCGCCCGTACTTCACTTATCTATCCGCCGGCTATTTAAATTATTACGCTCGGTACGCGCGTCTGCGGACCCAACGGCTGCACTTGTGGTTGCATCGAATTGCATTTTGAGCCCAATCCGAGGATCAAATAGAGCAACTTGTGATGATCGTGAAAACTAAATAAATAAATAAATAAAATTTTAATTTATTGTAAAAATTAAATACATTTAATTATTTTTCTCATAACCTGGCAAATTCTTAATTTTTTATTATTATTCATAAAACCGTATATATCATATATTAGTTTTTTTAAGAGGTTTTTTTCGTGGATTTACTGAAACTGTGCGAGAAACACCAATATACATCATGTAAAGATTCAAAATTTATTTTCGGCCAATTTGATTTTAAGAAGAGAAATAATTAGGATTTTACAAGATACGTTTTCTACTCAATTTTTTTCAATAAATGTAAATGCTTTTTAAATTATATAAAGTTTAAT